GGGGGGGGGGGGGGGGGGGGGGGGGGGGGGGGGGGGGGGGGTCTTCGACCTGAAAAATCAGGGGTTAGGATTTGCACCCGGTCGAAAGAAACCTTGCTATCGCAAGAGTAACTCCAGCTAGCTTCGCTAGCTTTCGTGAAAAGAAAATTAAAGCATCACAAAGATATGCAAGGACACCCTGAAGGGATTAGAAGACACAGGTTGTTCATGGACTGCAAGTAGTGTGGAACAGCTGGTGAGGTGGGACTTACATGCAGTGAACCTGGTTGAAGAAACGTGGAACAGCTGGTGAGCGCTAAGTCCTATCTCATGTGTCACCACCTGCTGGCATAGCCCAGAAATGATGAAACAAACACATAAAATGCCTCACAAAACCGAAGCATACCATGATGAGACAGGAGTTAGCTACCCGCACAATGGTCGAAACAGCTTTTCCCTCATGAGATAGGAGTTGTCCATTTCGACGTGATGTTCTGAAAGTCCTAACTCATTGGCTCTCAGTATACATATACTGGAAATTTTACACACGAAGCGAAATGATACCGGGCGGATCCGGGTGGTGTGCATCGTTAGGTTCAGTTGAGCTGCAGGAATCCTCACCAATACCTCGAGCAGCGATGGGCTCTTGATGGTACAGCTCGCGAGAATCCACGAATAAACGCTGAGCTCCTGAGCGGGGAAGGCTCACAAAAACTCTCCACTGCCACATCTCAGGAATTGAGGTGGTGTACATGCAAACAAATCCACTGAACATGTGCTCGCGTGACTGAGGAGTTGTCCGGGTTCCACCAAGAGCGTTTCAAACAAGCAGGATGATGAGGACAGCATATGCAGGTCCAGGCTCGATAAGGGATGCTAGTGGCTTTGAAGATAGCAGTCTTGATATCACCCACGCGCCCATCTTCTGGGACCTGTTGACAGCGCGCTATCGATCCTAGTTGGAAGAAAGGATGTGCTGCAATGCAATCAGATAGCCCGCCACCTTGATGGGTTCTGCTTAGGGTGTGTTGCAGCCAAATGATGTGCAGGGGGAGACTCTTGCTTTTTTTGCAAAGCCAGGAGACTTCAATTTCAATCTCTTTGCCGCTGAGAAGCCTTGGCACAGATATCTTCCGAGCAGGAAAGACAACAACGACAAGAAAAACAAACGACAAAGCAAAGCTAAGTGCCTGGGGGAGGCACAAACATGTACCATTGTCGGACTTGCCCCTTGAAACCAGATTCACAGCCATGCTTGTACAACTTTCAAAAGGCTCCCTGGACTTATCAGGTGTGTCGGTTGTGTTGGCATCGCTGCCACTAGTGGGTTGGTGTGCTTGAAACAACTTGGCCTGATGTTTGGTTGATTGATGAAGCATCAGCTGTATGCATCGAAAGGGTCAATCAGTGGCGGGCGGTTAATAATGACTTGTCACGTGGTATCTTGAAACTCTGAGCGGCTGAACGCGGAGGGAGATAGTCTTAGCCTCCTCCGCGTCCACCTGCAGCACGCGGCAAACCCAAAACTGCCACACTCAAAACTGCATCGTGATCTGGTCGAAGATGTGACACCTCCAGGTTTCCAGTCCCATCAGGGTCTTGCTGGACCTGAGATGTGTGTCTCAACAGGGACCAGCGCGGGAAATATTTGTGATCCCAAGCTGAGCGAACGTCCAACAAGCAACACCATTCCGCACTGAGCGAAAAGCGTTACACAAGAAAGCTTGCAAAGTTGCTCCTTCAATGGATGGATTCTTGGTTTGAGCAAATCCTGACACTTTGTCAAGTTGCCATCAGTCCGCCACGCGCTTCTAATGTGGCGAGGGCCACCGCGAGCGCTCATGGTGAATTCTTTTGAGCCACCAAAAGAGCAGAATCCGTGGAAAACATGTTTGTTGCTCATGAACTAGCTATATACTACTACAAACTTATCATCCAGGCATCGACATCCTTTCTACACAGTGCATCATGCGGCGATTGTGGAGACCAAATGTCAGTTGGAGCGCCTTTCAAGAAAGGCCGGTTGGGGGTACTAGGTAACTGGCTTCTTAGGCACCAGGACGCAGACAAGCTCAAGCTCAATGATTCAATGATTCGGCTCACTTAAGTGTTTTGGGAAACTTGATTTACAACAATGCAATCGATCTTGGTGCCATTTCAGGAAAATTGAGACATTGGTTCTTGACAAAGCTTCAAGGAACATGAGAAGCTGCGTATAATATATCTTTCTAAGCTGCTGCCATAAGCTACCTCCACCAGGTTTGATCCCAGCCGCCAGTGCCTCTCCGAAACAGCCGGCGCCAAGCTTCTTTTGCACCTGGATCCTGAGATCTCTCCAGTGCTGCTTGCCACAGCAAACGAAGGCTAGACTTCAAGCACACAAAGTTGACCAAAACTCATTCAGATGGTTTTAAGCGTCACAACAACGGTATGGACTTTCATGAAACACACATACACACAACCAATCAATCATGAAGACTTCTGCCAAGTTGCTGCCCACCATTTAGAGAGGAGGGCACCTTCGGCTTGGCCTCAAAGTGCGTTCCTTTGAAAAGCAAAAACAGCGGAAGAACAGAATTGCAACGGCCAGGAACAACCCTCTTTCACTGCAAAACGGACCAGGATATGGGTATGACCGTTGCATACCCCCACAATTTTGCCAGCACCGAATGGGGGAAGGTGTGCAAAAGACAGTGAAAGTGGTGATACTGAGCTAAGTAATGGCTGCCAAAAAAAACAAAGGCTGCTTTCAGCCAATTAGTGCTGTGGATGAGAAGTATATGTTGTTTTCTAGCCAATTCAATTGATGGTATGGTGAGAGCAGTGCCAAGTACGTCCCAAGATAACAGAACTTCCAGAGTGTTTCAACAACTTAACTCCAGATAGAAACATTCGGGGGTTGTGGAACCAAACCTCCAGCATAAAGACAATTGTGATTTGTGCAGCACCCACTCAAGCTCCAATTGGGACTCCCATTGGGACTTCCATACATGTCTAAATATGATGTATAAATATAGTATATCTATAGAGTATATACAGAATACATATGTTATGTATATGCACAACGAACACTTTCAACCTCTTCCGCGACCTGCTTCGGGCCCCAGGCCGAAGAAGACATTGGCCGCGTGCCTTGGACAAAATGTAGGTCACGGGGAGTCTTGGAGAAACTGCTGACCCACGGAGTCTGAATCTGGGTCGAGCTCACGTTTGCCAGAAGCCATGCATAGTTGATACTTTGGGATGCAAAGTAAAGGCAGTTTGTCAGCTCTCTAATTACTGCTTGAATCAGTGAGCAAAGAAACTTAAAGTCAAAACACTTTGGGCGCAACTGGTTGTTTTCGCATATTGTGTATAGTTTCTACTTATTTGCAAAGTTCGTTCTGGCATGCTTCGCTTCTTCTGGCTGAAGTTGACCGGCAACACTGAAGTCTAGTGGCAACTGCGAGCAAAGGATGTTGTTCTGCCAGTCTTACATCCCATTTCTTTCAATCAAAGTCATTTGTGGCTCAAAAATTCGAGATGCCTAGGAACAAGGGCATAGCTACTAGTAACAAGTGCCTTACTACTAGTAACAAGAAGCTATTAGAAACAAGTGCCTTACTACTAGTAACAAAAAGCTATTAATCTAAATTAATCCTTATCCGGCGTGTTGTTTCCTGCCCGGCTCGTCCCATTGACTCAATTTCAGCTTTGGTCCCCCGGCACTTGTGCCCGCGCCGAGATAGGAATGGGTCAGTTGGTGGGTGTGGCTGTATTGACTAGCCGATGAAGGTGTGTAATGTGTACTTCTGAAACAAATCAAACCACCTCCATCCCAATCGAGTGTTGTGGGCTTTCTGATAGTCGAGGTCAAACCTGGTACACTCACATCAACTTAGCTCTACTTTCGTCGCTTCAATTTGTTCTTGAGCTGAGCAAAGTTTGAAACTATTTTCACAGCCTCCAAACATCTAAAGGTCGACGTTCGCGACCGCTCGACGTTCCCTTGCGCCCTCACGGCTCCAAGGGCAGTGGAGCTTGAGCCGTGACACCACAGGGTCCCAGGAGTGTCCTATCTCCGGGTGGTCGTGCTGGCTCAAAAATATTCAGGGTCCTGCGCTTCTTGTTGAGTGATTGGGGAGGACCGTGAACGTATGGGGCAATTGCCAAGGTTGACTGGGGCCTGTTGTAGGCCGACTCAAGTTGGTGAATGGATTTATATATGATATATGTGATCAAAACATATCAAAACAGTCAAAACATGTCAACCAACCTGCCTGGCTGTGAAGGCTTCTGAAGGAACTCACATTCATCTTCTCAGAAGACATTGAGCAAAACACAATGCTATCGTTGCAATTCATCTACAAACTAAGGTGTCACGCAAGAAAACACACTCCGTTGGCATCCTGTCTTCCAAGGCCTTCAAAGGAGCTCCATCGCCGGGTGATGCCTCCTTGGCCGGACAAAGCAAATGTTTCAATGCTTGAAGCTATGGTAAGCAAATGTATCAATGCATGCAAGCGGAGGTTTCCGGAACTTTTTTTGGTTGTTTTGTTTGCTTTGTTGCTCTCTAGTCTGTTCAACAGGCAAGTAAGGTGGTTCCAGCACGTGTTGTTTGGCACTGACTTTGAGATCTGAATTCCTCGAGTTTACCGCTTTGGGCTAAAAAGAACGAAAAACGTCAATCATTTACACAAAAATACTATTGACTTCCGGTAAACTGATTTTCTTTTACAGAAGACAAAAACAGTATCATGTTGATGGTTGTGATCTTCCAACATGGGAGCATATCATGAAAAATATTATATAAATCAATGCAACAATCATCACCTCCTATCTATGTTTGGAGTTGCATGCCTTTCTTCGCAGTGGTTTCCATAATGTTTAGGTAAAACAACAATACAAATATATATATATATAGAATACAAACGGTATTTGTCATAGTGTTCTATGTTTTCGCTATTTGTTCACGTGTTTGTGTATATCAACAAGTTTTGAGTTCCCCAAACAACTTGGACTTCTGACTTTGTATTTCAGCATTTCAATGCTTTCGTGTTCTGCTCAAACCATTGCTATGCTAACAAACACAGCTGCAAATCAAGCTGAAGCACACACTTGTGCCCGTCATGTGCATGTACTGTACGTTCCAACACTTGTGGTCCACAACTCCAATGGAATTTTTGAAACCAGCGCAAGACCGGGCTCACTCTGTTTGTAATATATCAACATCTGCCCCTCCAGTTGTTTGGGTTTGGATGCCGACTGCACGTAGCATCCTCACGAAGGGTCTCGGCCACGGGATGAACTCAAGCCATGCTTCCCGTGAACTGTTGCATTGGCTTGACCGCCACCAAGGGTTTCTTTTCCAAGGGTTCCGTTTCGTTTTCTCCACTCCTCAACCTTCGTCAGTCTTTGCGATCGACACTTTAACTTCTGATCTATCGGGCGATGGTGTCCTTGCGCGAGGCCACTCAGAGGCTCGATGTCAACCACCACATTAACACAATTTTGCATATTTTGCAGAGTTGTTTCTCCGAGCCTCTTGCAACCACAAGCAGGTCAACAAAAACGTGTAATCGACATCTTTCACATTGAACCGCGCTTGTGTGGACCTCGAGACAGGGCCGCAACTCTGTCCCACACCAGCGGTCCTGTTTTGATTCCAAACAGTGCTGCCTTGTAAATGAAGAATCCGTCAAGCACTTTTCCGGGCAAGCATATCAAGCATCTGTGCTTGTTTCTTCTCACACAAAGGCGTCTGCAAATCCAATCTCGTGAACCTCACCCTTTGCTGTGGCTCTGTCATCTCCATCTCAGCCCGTCCTCCATATCCTTTGGCCTTGGCAACAGAAGCCGCTCCTCAAGCTGTTCGTTGACCCAGGTCATTTGTCGCCGTGATTCTGAAGCTCCTTCCAACCATACTTCCCATTTGACGGCCTCCTCCAGCACTGAGACTCCGCCCAACCGAAGACGCAGCCACTCCAGTACCGCCCTCCCCGACCCACACAGACAATTGAGCCAGGTCGTCAATCCTGGGTTCACGCCCAAAACAACAGGACCACGATTGCTTCTGATTATTGAGAATATACCTTGACACACTGCCTTGGCAAGGCTGGCGGACTATCCCTTGTGTGAACGTGCCCAAGCTTATTCGAGGAATCATGCAAAATGTTAACGTTCCAAACTGTTCAGGTCACCGTGCAGGAGTCATCTCCAATTTGCTGTGCAGTAGAAACAATCCGGGTAGAAACCCCGCACAAGTGGCAACATTCAAAACCTCACCTGCAACTGAATACCTGCACCCCACCGAGTCCAAACTGCGTATTGAAACCGCAATGCCAAACATACGTATCCCCACTGAATCCTTCCAATCCCACCTCCTCTCTCTTCTTCTCCACCCATCCATCTTTGCGCATCTCCCAAACCCCACACTCCATCATAAAAGGCGCAATTCAGTGTGGTAGGTAGCAGGTAGGAGCTTGGTCAGCTTTCACCCTACGGTTGAACTACCTTCAGAAAGGCTGCTTATATAAGCCAGCCTGCTCATCTGGGCCTGCTGATGACTATGGTCCTATGGTCAAGCTCGTCCAACTCATCCAAGCTCGCAGTGGCGATTGCCCGCATAACACGGCAGTCCACCAATCAGCATCTTCGGATCATCCATAGGTCATGAGTTGATGCGTTGGGTTCTGCTCAAGCAAACAAAATTCGAGTCTGGGCAAAAATCACTTTGAAAAGCAGAGATGGCTGTACATGTTTGCCTTAATGCATTTACCCCATGTATTGGGAACGCGGGTTCCCCTAATGCAAGATTAAACAAAGGGAATAGTAATGCTCAAAAAAGTATATAGTTCAATTGCCGCAATCGGCTCGTCTTCATCTGCATCAATAAAGTATTGAGGTTGAATACCACTTGAATTGAAGTGATGATGCCGTAGCCACATTCCTTAAACAAAATAGAGCTGGATCGTTTTGCAGAGCACTAGCGGGTCGACTTACTGAATCGGTGTCAGATCAACACAGCTGTCCACTCTGCAAAACTCTCTTTTCAAAAAGTACAAAGGGTGTGCCATTTAGGCGTTCCTTGAAATCAAGGCTCAGGATGATTCAGGCTAAATGACGCTTCTGGCTTTCGGGCCGCCGGGCTGGCATGGAGAAGCTAGGGAAAATGCCCAGTCGAGCCATCGCGCCTTGGGCATCCACATCTAAAAGCACCAGCTTCATTGTGAATATCAGCTGCATGCTGTACAACAATGCGCTACTAGGAACAAGAGGCTACTAGGGGCTCCTGGCCTTACTACTAGGAGCAAGGATGCTACAGCAAGGACGCTACTAGGGGCTCCTGGCCTTACTACTAGGAGCAAGGATGCTACAGCAAGGACGCTACTAGGGGCTCCTGGCCTTACTACTAGGAGCAAGGACGCTACTAGGGCTACTAGGAGCAAGAACGCTACTAGGGTCCTTTAGGTCAAAGATGTAACCACGCCCTCAAATGATGCTTGCAAACAATCCTTACTTCCACGCCTGGCATGGCCTCTGAGTCAGCCAACCGCGAGGCAAACGGCAGTTTGGGCATCCTGCAATGATTGGAGGAGTTTCCTGTGACAACATGCTTCTAGTATCTTGAAATCGACAAATTCAATGTCCTGTGGACTTGGACCGTTGAGAATTTGTTGAAGCCTGTAAACGATGAAAATCGACCTGGGTCTATGGACGAAGTAGTTTCAATAAAACCAAGTTCCTGAATGCAAGCCATCTTGAAAGATTAATGTTGGAAGAGAAGAAGAATCAGAGTATGACTGCTGAAGTGGATGTCTGTAGGAGCCAAGCAACTGTCTCACTTAACCACATCGACCTGAGCAGTTTTGGCAACATTACACTTTGCTCTTTCTTGAACATGCTAGACATCCAAACCATCCAAATCCGTTGCTGCACCTTTGACCCTGGTGCTCCTTGGCCCATCTTCCTCTTCGCTGAAGAAACCATGCTTTCGGCCGGCCTAGACCAAAGAAAGAACTCTGCCCTCTGTGGGCACCTTCGCCGTTTCATATCTTGCCATTTTGCAGCAAAAAACCTCAAGATACAAAGTTATATATATAGCCCTGGTGTAGTTTAAAGGTGTTAAAAGAAAGGAACACTACCTCATCATACAGAGACGACTGCGTGTGTGTCCGCAGCGTGGCGTTTCTTCAAACAATTCAACCCACAAATTGAGCAGTGCAGCGTCAAGCGTGGCACCTCAGCGGCGGGAAGTGCGGGCAGTGCCGGCAGCGTCAACAGCTGCTTCGGCTCAGAGCCTAAGCACAAGGCCCTGAGCTCTACTGAGCCAACAGCAGCCCCGTTCGGGGCTCCCTCCATCGTTCTACTTTCATGGACTTAGGTCGACCCTTGCAAATTCCTTCTAGGCAATAGTGCAAACCAGGGTGGAGACCCCCAGGGTGGACATACTTTCTGAAGCTGCAGGTCTCATTAGAAGCAGGTTCTATTCAAGGGGCGCAAACATTGTGCTGAATTGAGGCAACTTGATAGTCATGAGTCATACGGATGATATGATGCATTCGAGGCTGATCCACTGGGATTAGCTCCAACATCAGGTGCTTTTTAGCAGTAAATAAGTAACACCTACACACAGAACAGTGAACATGATAGTGCATTGTAGTACATGGTCCTTTAGGTCCTTTAACAAGGATAAGACTGCTTGCCCTTACTGAATTCAGTAGGTGCCTACTTAATTAAGTAAGCAAGGGCTTTAAAAAGTCATGGAGTCGAGTGAAATGCAGTGAAGGTGGTCAGGTGGTACACCGAAGGTGGTTTGGGGGCATTTGGATTAAGGCGACTCTGGGCTCCAAAGCTCTCTTCACTTGCATCCTGCGTGCGGGACACCGGAAACTCCAAGCGGCTGTCGAGGAATGCTGCAGGGGATGACCCAAATTCGCAGAGACAGCATCAGACAGCTTTTCGAACAATTCGATAGTCATGGCCTGCAATGAATTCAACCGAGCAATGCCCAGAACTGTACATATCTGCAGCAACATGTCGACAAACAGCTACACCAAAAAAGGATGCAAGAACCTTCCGTCTTGAGTCTTGGATATATATATATATATATGTGTGTAATATATATAATATTATACAATACAATATATATATAAACAAACAACAATGATTAGCAGCATTGGTGCGGACAGGCTCCCTCAAACCGCGACCTTTACAAATTGACTGCAACTGACCACTAGAATTTGACAATGGTTCCGTAGAAGACTAGTGTCTTCACGGGATTTATTCCATGGATTTGGGGGAAGTACAGGTAAATGGTCAAAGATTGTTCGTACTTGGCGCAGCTGGGCGCACCACACTTCTGGCCAAAGTTGGAGCTGATAGTTTGGGAATGTCCATAAGCACAATCCACACGCTTGTTCTACTTGCCACCAAATATCCCTTAATATTACACCAGTTCTCAAAGTCTTCTTCTTGCGTGCAATGACATGCTCCTGACGAAGCCGCAAGGCTCTATGACCTGTTAAGGGCGCATGGTTTGGTCCACGTCCTTTCTAGCCAAGGAACTGGATCATCTGAAGCCCTGGTGAAACTCTACCCCTGATAGGGGCACCTACGGGCCAAACTCTGCACACGGCGAGCTGGCCAAGTAGTGACTTGTGGCATGCCCTGAGGCACATGCCATGTTCACAAGTTGAGGTTGGCTTGTTCTCGTGATTAAAAGGAAGGTGATGCAATTTCCACACCATTCGGAAAGCCTTAAGCCTTAAGCTTTGAGGATGAGTTTGGGGCTGGGACAATGGCATGTGCTCCACAGGTCACTCAGCAGGTCCTCCAACCCAAGCCTGGCATTTTGTCAAAGCAGTTAAAGCATGACTGTGGCGTACATTGTCATGAGGTGGTTTGTCGAGGAAAACTCTTTTTGCGAACATCGTGACCCTTCTCGAGCTCGAACACTCTTGGTTTCTTCAACATATATATATATATATTCCCTCTCCGACAGCAAGCTCAAACAAGAGGGATGGGCAAAAGTTGAACAAGGAGATGTTGGATGGGGCACCCAATCTCGCAGGAGAGTTCTGATGACTTTGCAGTTTCTGACAAGTCCTCCTGAATGTCTTTGGGAAGAATCCCACGTGGTGCTCACCGCACAAGGAGCCTGCAACCATGAACGGGCGTGTTCAAAACGTGCTGATTTGCAGAGCCAGCCCCTCCTTCTTGAATATTGCTGATCAAAAGTCTATATAGTGCTTGGGTTCCTGCTACACCACGGCTACCACAATGACAGGAGAGGATGATCCAGCCCATGCACCTGCATAGGGCTTATGCCTGCCACCACTTGCCTGGATGTGTCATTACTGTCGCTGTGCATTCAGTGCAGAAAGATCCAGCCACACTGGTCCTAGTGTTGGCTACTAAGGCTTGAAGCAAATGAATAATGCTTATCTAACTTCCGCTTGCTGCCAGCAGAGAGGCCTTTTGATTCATATACCCCGGAAGTTGCTCAAGAGAATATTGTCAATGGTCACATGCCTACCTGAGCACATCCCGCTCCAGCAGGAATAGTGGTGACACTTCGACCTCGGTCAAGCAAGCTACCCATCTACTTTGGTGCCTGGGTTTAGTCAAAGAAGCTCTCGACTCTTTAAGCAGGTGATGGCATAACTCTTGCGCAAACATGTCCCGACGCCGTGCATGTGAGCAAGCAAAATGGTCTTAGCGCAAGTCAGAAGCTCTCAACAAGGGGTAGCAATGGTTGGAGAAGCACACACAATGCAGAATGCAGAATATGGAAGCTGGTACTACTGTTAGTGGAAGCGTTAGAACCTTAATTCGATCACCATCTTGAGATCTTGTCTGAGCTCCTTGCATTCCGCAAATGTCTGGACAAAGTTGGGAAAACCTTGAAGCAAGCTGCACATGGAATCTCTTTTTTGCCGTCACAAGAATACACTTTTGTCAGACAGTCATAGAAACTGGAAAGTCTTCCAAATGACTAGCAGCAAATTCTTCGGGCAGCTGAGGGGAGCTCTTAACGCAGTCCTTCTCAGTACATTTGTTTTGTCAATACAAGCATTTGGATTTCACAGGGCGATCATAGGCTCTCAAGAATGCAACCAACGTGAGTGGCTTCAGAAACCCTACAGCACCTTTCAGGTCATGTTGACAGGGTTTTACATAGGGTTTGTGGTCCACCTGGTCCTTCTCATAGCCGGGCAGAAGAAGCTCGTCGATGGACTGGTCACTTTTACTGTACCTGACGCAATGGCCTCCAACTCTCAACCTGTGTTGGAGACATGATTTGATACCGTCCGAAATCCTGAATCCTAATGATGCCGTCTCCGAAAAAGGTCCTAGTAGCGTCCTTGTTCCTAGTAGTTGCTCCTAGTAGCGATGCCAGGAGCCCCTAGTAGCGTCCTTGCTCCTAGTAGCGATGCCCTTTGCTCCTAGTAGCATACCTTGACCAAAATATTTCTCCAAATTCAAACTCTCAGTCTCCTCCCAGGTCGGTCACCGATGCGGAACGCTTTGCAGCGGAGTCGTGAAGTTGCTTGGAAGACCCAGAAGCATTACTGAGCCTACGAGGGGCGCTGGCCACGAAAAGGGGGAGTATTCAACATGCACCTCAGTATTCAAGGCTCTCGCATGCTCTCTTTACAGTTTGGTTCAGACGTATGATGCAATCGCTTACGGTCATTGCGTCAAAGACAGTGTGTCTATTCTTTGTGCAGAGTATCCGCCTCACCGGAACATTTCGACGAAAGGACTTCAAAAATTCAGGGCAATCCCTCATTGGGCTCAAGAATCACCAAGGCTAACTACTCAAAGGTTCAGCAACCACCTCTGATAGCCGCACTCTTTGGTGTAACTCCAACGAGACTGAGCCTGACAAGATTCAGTACCCTGCCTCCCAGTGCCACCATGGGACGGCCATCATGACCTCAAACAACGGGTTGATTGTCCAATGCAAAAAGAACCTTTAAAGAACCTGATAGCGAGGGCTTCCAACCTAAGAGCGATGGCCTCCAAACTAATAGCGATTGCCTCCAACCTCTCCAGCCTAAGAGCGATGGCCTCCAACCTAATAGCGATGGCCATACAATCTTGACAGCAAAGCCAAGAGTCTCTGTGTCTGTCAGCATTGGTATGTGGCCCAATATGCGCCCAGTCGTTGCATATACATTAGCCCCTACCATCCTCAGGAAACAGTATCTGTTTACAAACAAAGCAGTACAATCTTTGAGGGCTTGAGAAGTTGGTTCTCATTGTGGGTCAAGTGCCCTACCATCTAAGGACCATACCCACAGAGAGCTCGCAACATGGTTGAATATCCACCACTGCACCAGGCCGTGGCGGTTCACCTGCAGACGGAGAGGGCCTTAAATGAAACCAAAAAGGCAAGACAGATCGAAACAGAAAGGTTCACCTCAGCTTCATCTATAAGTACAAGAAAGAACAGCTGATTGCACAAGAATTGTCTGCTATGTATCTTGCACATTATGCTGCTCGATTGACCCCTTCCTAGCATGCTTGTTTCTTGCTGAATGTTACTTCCAACCATCCACCCATGGCTGTGGGCTAGAGATGGCTAGAGGGCATGATGTGGGCCATCAGACCACAGTCACAGAATCTACCTACTCATATCACGTTGATCAACTTTGGCTTTGTCCGTCTCTCCATGATCTGACGCCTTGCAGCGAAATGCTCTTCACTGAGCCGTGGGTTTGTTCAGACAAGTCCCAGACCTCATGTGCACTGATCATTTTTTGCTAATTATTTGATCATGTATCCGAGGAGTAAAAAGAACTTATGTCCGGCAGCGAGCTTGTGTCGAAACCAAGGCGAACCTAACGGCAAGGCCCAGACGCAACCATTTCCACCATGCGTGCGAAGGAAGTAAGGGGAGCAATCACCGACAGCTAGAAGCCAACATATCACGAATCAAACGGTGGAACAATCGAACAGCACCCCCAAATTCATGTTGATTCGACATCTCACGAGGAAGGATGCTGTATTGGCTTCTTGAAGTCGGATCTTGGCTGAAGCTCCTTTGGAGCGTCGCCTGGCCATGGGATCATCTTTGCGGAGTTTCAATTCCTCCTTTTCGTCCCAGAGAACCAGTTTCGACGTCCTCAACAAATCTTCTAAAGCTCCATTCGATCTAGTGATATCAGCCTTGGTCAGGCCGTCCGCGATCATGCGCGGGTGAGGAGTCCAACGCACCACACTCTGAGCTTTTTGGAGTGACTCCAGTATTATGCTCAGCTCCACTGAAGTACGTCTATCTTGTCGAGACATGGGCGATTGCTTGAGGAGAGCGTCAAAAAGGCTCTTGGCATCTGTAACATGACATTGTTGCAACCTCTCTGCCAGCTGACAGTTCTCTCTAAGCACTGGTAAATGAGGCGTGAGCGACTCAGTCCAATCTCTTCGAGAAACGTCTCCTTTGACTATGTCTCTGATCACGATCTGAATCCACTCCACCTCGCCCAATGACTGGTTGAACGCCAGCGCTTCTCCAGCAAGGGTAGAAGCAACTTTTCGTCTGAGTTTGCACGACCGCCAACTCAACACACTGACCTTGATCTTCTGCGATGCGCTCGGAAGTCTGTCCGCGGCCATGATCACCCAAGCTCCTTGAACGGTGTCAACCTCGTTGGAACCTGGCGAAGGAAGACCATCCACACCTCCGGCGTCTGACGCAGAGATCAATATCATGTCTTGATTGCTAAAGGAATGAAGTGTCAGCTTCTGTTGCGCTGTGTTTCGAAGATGAGAGATCAACTTGTTGAGACAGCACACGTCATGAACAGCAGCTTCCTTAAGCCGGGAGGACAGAATGCTGACGGCTCCTGCCGCCTCAGGACGTGTTTGATGAGCAACCCAAGCCACCCGGTAGAGCATGGATCGAAAACTCTCGAACTCATCAGGCATCAAGGGGGCTGACTTGTCGGTCTTCCGTCCAAGAGACAACCTGACAGGGTGCAATTTCTCAATGATGTATTTCTCTTGGTCCATCTCTATCTTGCCAGGGAGGATCTTGACATGGCGACCCGCAAAGTCGGCTTCGTCATATTCCATCTTTCCAAACCGAAAGCGTTTGCTCAGCTGTTCAAGCAAGGGTTCTCTCAAGTTCTTCCGGGCTACCACATTCAAGTCATCAACTTCCACTAGAACCATGCATGGCTTCTACTTCGCCCTTGTCGTCTCGGCGAACATACCAACACGGTTCCAGAAGACTCCTCTCAAAGCCAAGCTCCGTCAGGTAGCTGATCACTGTCTGACGCCACCTGAGAGGAGCGTCCTCAAGGCCATACACAGGAGCCACCAATTGTATCAACGTGCCAGCTGGAAGTCCTAGTCCCTCACACGCTTCAACATAGAGCTCTCCTTGAGGTCTTACCAAGGGTTCAGACTGACAGAATGCCTGAGTCACATCGCAGAACGTGACTGTCAAGTCCATGTTGGTGCACAGCTGAAAGAAAATGGAAATGCTCTCTGTCATAGGCATGGGTGAATAGGTGGAATATGTGCCACTATCAGGATCACTGTGACCCAAAACGCACCAACGTGATTTGAACTTCCACTGGCCAAGACCTGGCACGGGCTTCTTTCTTCTGACGAACCTGGATTGCAGAATGCGATGAGGACATTGACGTCGCACCTTCTTGGAGTCATCTGGGCTTAGTACCTTGACGGCCTTCAGGTCCAAGATAGTCTTCCATTCTGCTTGATCAGCTGCCTCAAATCCTCGTCTTTCTTCGCAGGTGGCCTCCTTCATGTTGAACTCTTGGTTTTTGGTCTTGATGGGCTTCACCATCAAACACTCATTCTCCACCTTGAACTCGAGGAAATTCAAGGCCTCCTTGCTCATCTCAGCCAGAAGTTCTTCTTTCCAGGCGATCATGGAATTCTCCTGTTCTTGTTGAGTTCGACATGGAGCGGAGTCGGTAGAGGCTGAGGCCGTAGAGCCTCCTTCTTCTTTCTCCAGAGTTCCTGATGAGATTGAACGCGGAGCTGACGTTTCTGACCTGACTTCTTTTGCTTCTTGAAGTTTTCGGATCTTGTCCTCACGCTCCAACCTCTTCAGAGTACGGAGAGCTATTTGCTCTAGATTCTTTTGCTCTTGATCTGAAAAGGTCCTCTTGGAGCCACCTCTTGGAGTCTTGGGTTGAGATACTGATTCGATGATCTTCTTCTTGCATGGCTGGTCATCATCTTGATCCCCATCTGATTTTCGTTTTGAGGTCATGGAGGCCTCGCTTTTGGAATGACTTGCTCCTGAATCCAACGAGTCTCCTTCCAAGACAGGAGGTCTCAGACCTCTGCTGTCCCTGCCTCTGCACTGTTTGCAGACTTATCTTGACTTCGATTGGGCATGCTCAAGGGCCGATCAATCTCCGAGGATGGAACTGGATGAAGCTCGACATCTTCAGGAGGAGGTCCCTCGGATGACACATCGACTGCGCCCGCCTTGCTAGATCTGCCTTGCTTGGTCAGCTCCTGTAGTTCACCTGCACGAGCCATATCTGCACCTATTGACTCATGATGCGATGCTGGCCTCAGCTGATCACTGTTGCATTTCCAGAGGCGAGCCCGCATGGAAACCCACAATGTCCAGCTTGAAGAACAACTATTCCTGGGCCTGTCCATCTGGCGTGAGTGAGATGTCCTTGCCCTGTGCCAGGAAACTTTCGCCACACGTAGACCCACTGGCCTACGGCCCAATTTCTCTGCTTGTGAATTCGCTGCCTGGTGGCGAGTCGAATCTTCTCCTTGCTGGTGGCACAGCTGCTTGGCTCTTTGCCTGATGTGATGTGACCTGTTGAAGGCAGCTGCGGCGGTATCTTGATCATAAGCGTCAGCATCAATTTCTTGCCAGCCCAAGTCTTGCGTTGCTTCGTCTGACAGCAGCTCGGTAGGCACCCTTGGATTGGTGCCAAACCAATTGGCATGGGCTATACCCACCCCGAGAATACCATCTGTTCTTGCAGGCTACCATGGACAGAACGAGTTCCTCTAGGTCTGCTTCGTTTGTGACCACACCCTGTCCAGACGCAACCTCCAATTCAGCTCTCTCCTTGACCCAACCTCCGTGGCGCTCAACTTTTCCGTTCTGCCATGGAGACGCAGCGTCAGTGATGATCTGGAGTATTCCGTGCTGTTCTGTCTTCCGTTCAAAGTCTAGTTTGAATTCGGAACCACCATCACAGATCAGAGTCTCGGGAATGCCATATGGTTGAACCCACATTCGGTGAAAAAGTCTCCACGTTTCAACCGAGGATGGAACACCTCCGTCATAGCTTCTCAGGAGTCCAACTTGCTGATAATTGGTTCCATGACACACGGCATTCAAGAAAGCATAGGTGCGGTTGGAGAAGGAGAGGAAAAAATAGTCCAAAGCTACTATTCTATTAAAAGCGAAAGTCCTTGGAACTGCAGCGAGACGTCTTTCCACGGGTTTCCTTTGTCTCATGCATGAGGAGCACTGAAATCTGTCACGAACATACTTCAGCACGCCTTCTTTGGCGTTGGCCGCTCGCAGCATGAGCAACATTTGATCACGTGAGAGATGTCCCATGTTGCAGTGAAGTAGCTCTATCTTTTTCTTCTGCTCAACTGTCAAGCTCTCGGATGAATCTCTATGCAGAGTACCTGGAGTCCTTGGTTGCCTCTCACCCATGTCCTCGTCGTCGTCTTCATCGGCGAGAACGTCATCCAGCAAACTCTGATGTGCCTCGAGCGATGCCGTCCAGCTTGGCAGACCGCTCTCCAAAGGAACATGACCATGCGACTTCGTGCACTGATACTGTGAGAGAAGGAAGGCCACTCCAAGATGGTTGGTCATAAGACCTGTGGTTTTCCGGGACAAACCCGTGGGCGTCACTCTGAGCCCAAGCTCGCATTGATCAAAAAGAAAATGATGAACCTGATCCTGCTTGGACAGCCACTGAGCTCCATGCGTCTGCCACGAGGAGGCTCCACCCGGTTGCTCCAACACAAAGGAGCGACCTCTCTGTAGCTGGTAGTCAGCCACCTGCAAGCATAGTTGCCACATGACCAACGCCTGCATCTGATCTCTGGTGAGCCTCTCTATTGGGATGCGTTCCAGGTTGACGTTCATCAACTGGCTGAACATTCTGCAGTCAGGACTCATGATCACGACGTCGGGCTTTTGCTCTTCTAGTATCTGCCACATCTTCTTTCTGTCTCTCCACTGCAAGGCGTCCCACCCAGAAGTCAGGTCCAGGTTGGATGGCTTGGTAGTCTCCAGTCCTGCCTCCAGAGCTCGAAGCGACAGCCGTGGAGGTGAAAAGAGCTCCAAGATCTTTGGCGGTCGTCGACCCATGTTGACCAGGTCGCCATGGCAACACGGCCGCAAGCAACTAATCCGCTGGGCTCTAAGCTCCGCAGAGCTAGGTCGATCGACGGCGTCCGAACGACGGGGCCTACAAAATGAAGGCCGGGCTATCGTTCTCTCTTCTTTGCTTTGCCCCTTGGGGTCTTGAACTTTCTTGTCCGGCCTCTTGGGCTCTTGTCTTCTTTCTTGTTTGCTATCAAGCTCTTCTAACGGTTCTTGTGGCTCTCCTGAGCTCACTAACTGACTCGGGCCCTTTGGCCCCTCTGGCAACACGGTGGAAAGTTTCTCAAGCGAATTCAACAGTGCTCGCTTCTGACGGCGTGAAAGGTGAGTTTCAGGTCCTTCGGGAAAATCATCACAAACAAGCCTACCGCAGAAATCGTCGTCCCTAACAACAAAAACGTCCCTCTCAGTACCATCAGACCTGAGTTGCTTACCGATGAAACAACAAACATTTTCCCGGTGGCTCAAGAAACGAAGAGAATTTCGATGGCAAGGAACTACCAACCACGTGATGGGACAGTCTTCTGTACACTCAAGGGTCCCGGTCGCTGGCATCGAAGTGAAACATACAACGGCCGACTCTCTCAGATCTAGTCCATCCGCCCCGGCGCAGCGCGCCCCGGCGCATGCTCCGGAATCTGGTCCCAGTCCTCGTCCTCGGGAACGCTCACCTGTTGAGCCATCGCGAATCCCTGAGCCAGAAGTCGATGAAGCTCCTCTGGCGCCAAGGCTGGAAACGCCGCTCCCGGTTGAGTGGCAGGGTCCGTCTGCTGCATGATGCGTTGCTGCTGCATGAAGAGTTGCTGAAGTTGGATCTCCTGACGCTCTTGATTTCTCTGAGCTTCCTCGGCCTGGAAGCGGAGAGCTTGATGGAACCCCTCCACCACTGGAGTCATCACTTGCGACATGATGGAGGCTGTATTCTGAAGGAGCTGCTCGTTTTGGCCCCGAAAAGCGCTCTCCAGATCTGGCATGAGGCTCATGGTCGATGAACTTGCCTGCACCATGGGAGTCCTCGGAGCAGCCGCTGGTGTCTTCGGAACATAGGTCTCGACGGCTGCCGTCCGGCTCTTCCGAACAGCCGGTGGAGGGTTGTCCTTCCCATACTTCTGGTACCCCGTCTTCTGCTGGCATAGATTGCAACACGTCCATGTGCCATGCTGGTTGGCGCCGCGCGTCTCGTACTCCTTGGGGTGTCGACAGCCCTTCAGCACAGCCTCTGAACTTGACATCATGCCCTCCGAGGGCCCGGGGCGAGAGGTCGTGTAATCTCCCGGCTGCTGTCGTATGCCCAGCGTCTCGAGCGTACCCGGCCCCCGGTTCAGGATGAGAAGCTTCCGAGTGAAGTGGAACCAATGGTTCTCGAGCGTCTCCCGGTCGGCCTCGGATCGAATACGCGGGACTTCTTCACCCGTGAGTTGATGATCCCAAAGGACGCCATGAGCACCTTTCGAATGTTCTGATTGGGCTCGGAAATCGTAACAGCGAAGATTGCGCTCTGATGCTCTTGAGGCGGCGGGGGATCGGCCACAGCTCAAGCGGGACACGCTTTCATCACTCAAATTCAGCTGAATCATCTTCTTGGAAAAAACTGACACAATAAATGCTTCAGACCAATGCTGATCAGTGAAGTCCAAAGGGCATTCTGTTATTTCAATGACTTGTCTCTCAAAAAATCAAAAGGCTGCACTCGTTTCGATCGTTTCGTTTTGACGTTTGTCACAAGGTGTTGCGTTTCGCTCAACCAAGCAAGCTTCATGTGCAGTGACAACCCATGTGGTGCGAAAAAGGAACGACTTCAACTGCTCACTGAACGACCGTGGCTCAACAAAGTTTCCTAAGACTCTGTCGCAAGTGAAAACGCACTCCTCCGTAGCCAAAAAATTCTCCGTCAGACCTACCTGAACAAGAAAATGATCAAAGACTGGCGGACGACTGAGAGCAGCCATATATGCTTCACTGGCGGTCGCGAGCAAGTTGAAATCGCCTGGATTCAAGCGAAACTTTTGGGCCAAAGACGATGGAATTGGAAAGTCACCGCCTGGCCACTCAGCTACGTTCAAAATCCTATGTCCAGAAGGCAGCCTGTGCATCTTGGCACGAGTGTTGAACTTCTTGAAGTCGATCTGATCCGTACTCGTGTCAATGACTGCCTGACTGAACTCTAGGAGGCCTATTGACAAAAGCTGAGGCACATCATTTTCCACCACCGTCAACTTGACCACTTTGACCTCCCAAGATGCACGGAGCCAAAGCCATGAAGAGCGTCTTCGCGGCCCCTCCAACACCTGAGGCCTTGGGAGGTTCCTCCTGCAGCTTGATGGTCTTCAGACCCACCTGCTTCAGCTTGTTCTGCAGCTTCTCATAGCTAGGTAGGCCTATGAGATCTTGGGAGGCTCCCGGATCAATGATTGCCTGACCTGCGTCCAGGGCCAAGAAGTTGACATGTTCGGTGAACTGGTAGTTGACAAAGCTCTCCACCAGAAAGCTCGCAGCATCCTCGACTGCCTCAGAGAGACCTAAGTAGGCAAAGGCGTTCACTTTGGGGTTTCTGTCCTTGCTAGATCGATTCCCTTCTCGAACTGGCTCTGAACAGTCTTCTCTCCAGCGGCCCTTCTTGCCGCAATTGCCACAGAAGGTGACTTTCTTGAGCTCTTCTACGGACATTCGACGCTTGTGAGAGGGTCTCGAGGGCCTAGTAGACTTGTCATCGAAGTGCCGGCGGTCTTTCTTTCTCGCGGCCTTAAGAAGTTTGTTTTCCTTCCATGTTCTTCTTCGATCTTGCTGAAGATCCGCCATCAGCGAGAACGCCTCATCCTCGCCAATCTCGCCGGCCTCCACCGCCCAGAAGATCTCCTCGTCATCGACCTCGGAGTCCGTGTCATCGGACTTAGACGTGTCCTCGAAGTAGCTCACCTTACCGGGCTTGATCATGCTCTCCTCGTCCAAGTCCAACACTCGCAGAGCCTTTTTGACCTCCGAGTAGGAGCGCCGCCCTCTCGTGAGAACTCGTAAGCTCTGCATGCCCTGCTTGGATAGCCCTGATTGCTCCTCGAGAAGAATGCCCTTGATGTCCTCCGGAATGCTCATGTATCTGCTAGCGTTCTCGAACTGTGACTCCCGACGAAGCGCGTACTGCGCCAGAGACTCGTCACTCTTCCTGGTGCCTTCAAACAAGGCGGCTCTAACCGCCCTTCTCCTTTCGGACTCATCATTTTCTCCAGCGAGGACGTCCAGGACTCTGAGGATCTCCGAGAGGTACGCTGGGCTAGCCAACGTCGCTTCAGAAACATGGTCCAACTTGGCTTGAAGTCCCCAATCTAGCGTCTTGAGTATCTTCTCAGCACGACGCCAGACGGCCACGTCCGTGTTGGAGTCCCACCTCGAGACGGCACGTCGCCACAACCTATAGTTGCTCCACCCTGACCATGACGGAGGATCGCTATAATCACCTTTGGGTTGATGATGTTGTGGCCACCAGGTTCTAGACATCCCGGAGTCTGGTTGCTGACCACCAGATACTGAAGTCCTCCTGGACCATGGATCTCTACTCTGCTGCTGCCATGGATCCGAGTGGTCATTCCCTGAAGGAGGCATGGTCGAAGCAGCCGCTGTCGTAGCGCCCCCACCATCTTCCTTCTCCCCAGAGGAGTACCATGCCGAGCCATGTCCCCAGCCCGACCAGTACCACCTCTTGTTCCACTCTGCCCATTCAGCATCACTCCATTCTCTTTTCTCGCCCCTGCCGTCCGCTGCCGGCGCCGCTCCCCTCATCTCCTGCTCCACGATGTCCTCGTGCTCTTCCACCTCGCCGCTGCTCGTCCCTGGATTTGGCATGTTCCCAGGGCTCCGAGTACCAACTGTCGAAACCAAGGCGAACCTAACGGCAAGGCCCAGACGCAACCATTTCCACCATGCGTGCGAAGGAAGTAAGGGGAGCAATCACCGACAGCTAGAAGCCAACATATCACGAATCAAACGGTGGAACAATCGAACACTTGTTTTTCCTCCAAGCTTGGCCGAAGTTCCATGTCACGAGAGAGGGATCAAGTGGCGCCGGCTGGAGTCCCTCACCTTCTAGTTGTAACACCTCCAAGGCCTAAATGACTTGATTAACCTGATTTCTCCCTTCTTGGTCTCGTTCATCCAAAGCGTCATGTCTTAGGCACAAGCATCCAGCACGTCGCCGCACTTTACGAAGAAAACACAGGGCCTACCAACTTGAACTTTCAGCATCCATATCTTGAGACCTAGCTGTCTTTTCTTGTATAAGTGCTTCTTTAGACCGAGACCTTTCTTTCTGTCGGCATCCTATCAATTGTCGATGATTGTACAAAACCGGAGAAAGACTTGAGCTGGCAACAGCTGGCCTTCGAGTCGACCAGGCCACGGAAATCCGCGCGCGAGGCGCCTGTTCGGGAGACCAGAACGCAGCGAGAACAAATTCTTTCAATTCATACTGCCTTTGTTACTAGAAGCTCCTTGCTACAGGTGAAACGATCCTAGTGAAACGATTCCCAAGGAAGCTCCTAGCTCCTATAGAGCGTAGTCGTGGCCCTCTCACAAATGTTGTGTAAAACATCAAGTCATTAGCGTCAATGCAACTGTGCTGTGCCATCTCTAGTTGCCTTCCCTCTATGTCAGAGCTGCATTGGCTCGACTCTTGTATAAAGACCTGGCCTGGATCACGGCACAGGCCCAGTGCGTCACAGGCACGCAAAGGGAGCAATCAAAAAGGGCGAGATCGCCTTCCACCGCCAGCCACCAGGGCTGAATGCTGTGATCCCTTTGATGTTTATCTACATAAACATGCACGTTCCTCAAACAATTATTGGCCTAAAGAAACACAGCTGCTGGAGGAACAATTGCCGCAAACTCGGCTCGTGGGTCCAAAAAGGTTCGATGACACTAGGAGCATTCTTGCTACTAGGAGCAAAGGGCATCGCTACTAGGAGCAAGGACGCTACTAGGGGCTCCTGGCATCG